TATATATATATATATTCATATATATATATATATATATATATATATATAAAATATCATACGTATATGGTGGAATAAGTGAAGGGAGGAGCTCCAGTCAACTGCTGGCCATCGCTTTTACCAAGAACCTTTCGCCGGTCATAAAGTTTGCTACCTTCGGCTGACAGAAAATGAAAGAACAGGCGAAAAACGTTAACAAGCATCTTAGCAGCCATACTTACCTAGCCAGCAGATACACGTTTGGGCTTTGAAGTCCATCCATCTCAGTACATAATGAGGATCTACTTGACTGACTTACGCGCAGCATCAGAATTGTAGACCAACATAAGCCTGCTGCAACATGGAACGCCGGTGATACATTTCAAACTTGGAAAACCTATGCTGAAGGAGGAACTTTTCCACTTCATATGCATTGTTTTGGGGATAGAGAGAGTTTTACTACAGCTCGAGGGATCCAACAACAATTCCTCTGTGTACAGAGAGAGGAATTCGATAAAAGGACAACTACCATGGAATTCGCCCTTTATGTGCATCAAGATTGACTGGTATCCTGATCAATTAACTAGTCATGGGACTTATGCAAAGCAGCATGAATTTCAAAGCGGTCGAAGGAAAAGTCCAAGGTGCCCAAATATCTTGAAGGGAATCAAATGCTCTGCGGGCAGTTTGTAGACTTCACCGAAGCCTTCGGTTCAATTAACGGAAAGGGATTATAGATCGTCCTACGAAAGACCGAATGTCCGGACGAACTTGCCAACCCTCAAAATTCCCTCCAAGCTGAGACGAACTGATGGATACAGACCAACGGAGTTAATTCGAAGTCGATACCGCAGTGTATTGTAGCCGTGTTCTTTCGCCAGCCCTACTCATTCTACATTTAACAACCATCTGTGCAGGTACGTTTTGCCAGATTAAACGTGGAACACCGATTTGATCTCTTTGGGATGGTCATTTATTCAGTTCGAAGCCTTTCTCACGCAAAACGCTGCTGGCGATGAGAACACTACTGTGTCAGTTTGTTATCCGTTTGAAAGCGACAGCGTCTTATTGTGCATCCTGAAGCTGACTACGGCATCCATTGAGCGGTATCTTACTGACCTGAAGATAAGTTTTTGTTCTACTAACTTTGTACTATGTCAGCTTGAACTAGAATCCCTAAATAAAATACAAATTATCCGGATAAGTGGCTATGATACGTGTTGACCGGATTTCTGCAATCTTGACAGCGTACTATCCACAGCCAGGGAACCTGGTAGTGAAGTGAACGCACGAGCTGCAAAGGCTGGTATGACACTTGACTGCCTTGATAGGCTCGTTTGTCACAGTCATCACCTGCTCATAGATATTGAGATTATCATCATCATCATCTTCACTGTCAGCTGTAAGAACCGCGTACTCGTCGTACACTGGTTGTAGCGGCCACAGTTTCGTTCAACGATGACTGGGGGGGGGGGAGGTAGCTGCGCATTGCACGCTCAAGCTGGTAAGTTGGTGCATAAATCCAGCACAGTCAGTGGGTTGTCAAGCGGGGGGGGTGGAAAAGGAGCTATGCATTGAAGGCAATAGCTTGGATGCCCAAACCCCATTGAGGGCGCGACTGGGCCATATCTGACAATGTCTCTAACAATTGATGTGGCCCGTCTCGGGGTCCCCATCCAGGAAGACGGCAGTGACCAGCGCAGCTGAGTTTGCTGGTAATGGCTTTCATACTTCGCTGCCAAGTCATTGTTTGACCGCCTCTGGCTCTCTTCCACCCTTCACGTGGTTGTGCGAAAAGAGCCCTTCGAGGAAGTCGGTCGAATGGCATACGCAGCAAGTGGCCAAGCCAGCGCAACCTGCGCAATATGATCAGTTCATCTATCGAGGGTGAGTTATTTCTCCCGAATACCATTCGACGTACTTCAGAATTGCTGATCCGGTGTTCCCACCAGATTCGGGCAATGCTCCGAAGACATCGATGGTCAAACACTGAAAGTCTTTTGAGATTATAGTGTGTTTGATGGCTGTGTTGTCCTGGCTGCTTCACAGCCAGGCCGAGTATTAGGATTCTTGCAGTTCCACTTCGATAAGAAATCCTTCGGAACTAATAGAAAGATCGAATCCCGAAAACCAAAATATTCCGGGGAGCAAACACTGTTGGAGTCGAATACAATATAATGAAACAAGCTTCGCTGTTCAGACCGTTCGAAATGAGTAGCTGAAGGAGACAGCTGAAGAATGAAGCTCACATTTGGGGACGCCCAAACTTCCACCATTTAGACGGCCTTTATGTTAATTTGAAGAATTGTGACTTCCAGTTTCAGTTCTATGAAGACTCGTCACCCAACTGAGACCTGAAGTACGGCTTCAAGACACTTTTCGACCTAATACGGCAAGGCAGGCGAGGTTTTCATAAGATCAACCTCACTAGTCCGGCGTTGATAATGTGGACTTGCGCCACGTGAGGACACGTATTCATTAGTATGATCGAACCTGCGCGGCCCTCCTAGAAAACGTGAACAAGTGCAACCGGGGTACGCTTGCTTAACTGTCTAATCAGTAGCCACCCGACATCATCATCCTAAAAATGACAAAATTAATCGTCTGCTTAATGGAATACCGCTAGGTTATCGGTTACCACTTTAAGTGTGCGCTAATGGAGAGCCACCGAGAATATTTGCAGAGTGCAGTATTGTTGGGGCGGTGTCTCGCTGAATTAATAGAGGACGCAAGTGACCGGATGACAAACAACAAACTCATGCCTATATCATTTGTTGTATGGCCATATTTATCCCCACTGGTGGCTTGCAGCGGGCCCATGCATTTCGCCTGCCGACCCTACGGATTAATCCATAGGGTCTTATTAGGCTCCAAAGGCTTGTATGCTGCGCAGCATTGAGCCTGTCACAAACTATCTGTGGATCAAAACCTATTCACAGGAATCTAATGGTCTGACTATTTTCGACCGACAAACCCTATCCAGATGCCCGTAATCCATACACAACAAACCCTCCCTAATTTCTAGATAGGGGCTGTGCGAAAAGAGTGAGAAAAAACAGTTGTAAACCCAACGTCTAAATGTCAGCCAGGGCCTTCAGCGCTGGAGATCCAGCATATGCAACGTCATTCGCAAAGACAAACAGCCTTGGTATACATAAAACTTCGATTCCCCGGTTCAGTAGTAGAGCCTGCCCAAAACAGAAGCAACGCACAACAGATGTCAGCTGACCATTAACGTTAACTTGGCTGAAACTCTTACACACATGAAGCAACATCAACTAATTCGACCGGCGAGTACACCAGTTTTCTGTATATGGTTTGATGGAAATCGGTATCAAACAGTTACAAATCAAAAATGAGATCTGACTAATTAGCTAGTGCAGAGCTCTGTACACTGAAGGCCATTGACAAAACAAACGGTCTATTTGTCACCACATAACGTTCATCGCGGGATCTTTATAGACCGATTCTTGCCTGACAGGCATACTGATAATTCTAAGCTAAGTGATTCATACCTTATCAAACAAACGTTTTTGGCAACACATTTTCCTGTCATTGCAGTTGCAAGTAGTGAGAAAACATCCGGACACTGGGAAAGTCTATATGACAGACATCCTACCAGGTGGAAAAAATAACTTCTCCATCAATTACGTAGCTACATTGAACACAAGACTAAGGCAGTGATCCACACTTGAACTTCCGGGTCAATCGACATCGGCCTAAGTCAGCTGAAACGGTTGATCATGTTGCTTTTGAACACGGAATCTTGTTACATGGTCCGACAGTGAACAAGTTTCTCTAATGACTTTGACTGCCCCTCTAATTGGAAACGGGCTTTTGGGCTGATTTTAAACCGCCAAATTAAATTTATAGCGTAAAACAAGATCTTTATCATATGTAACATGACTGTGAACTGTATATTATGAAACTGGATAAAGACAACACTTTCCAAGACAGAATTCTCAACAAGACATAGTCTTACCAGGGTAGTAATCCAACGGTTGAATCGTCGACCACTCAGCTTCAACAAACAGTAGGCATTAACAGTCCACCATGAAATGTTTTAATGTGACCTGAAGATCGGTATGGCCGATTATTGTAACATCTTCAATTTACTCACAAACAGAATACTGTTGATGATATCTAGTTTTGTACAGAAATTAGTCAAGAAGGCCTTGGGCTTTACAAATCGATCCCTGCCTAATTAATTAAGCACACCCTGTATAAATGAATATTTAACTGCCCCACGGATAAAAAAACAATCTATGGTTTGTCAACTGTTGATTTATTTTAATTGCATTTTAGGACTATGAATGCGCATGGCATGGTTGAATTGATGAGATATCTTTCGCAGGTACATCAAAGCGAAAATAAATTAGAGGTACAATCCGGTGAATGTTATTGTGTATTTAGCCACCTGAGCTTTGATGTATCATTGATTGCGAAAAATGCCATGGCCACTGTCAATAAAATCGGCAAGCTCCCCAAACAGATGCAACTTAACATGAAAGCAGCTGTTTCAATCCGAGATTGTTCACTCATGCATTGTTGGAATACGCTAACGCAGTATTAGAACCAGTGGATATAAGGAAATGGATTTTTGCGCACACTTTTGTTTTACTACTCGCAAGGACGTGATAATTCTGTATACCATCGGGTTGACGTTTGCTGTGATTTTCTAACACGATATTAAATGAAACGGGGGCAAGCCAGCAGCCCAGTCTCAGCATTCTCACATCATCCATAATTTTACAAAATTTAGAGACCGGAGGCAGAAAGTATCGAGCAGAATGGAGTGAATGAACTGATCAAAGCGGCTAAAGAGCGCGCGGAAAGAAGAGAACTGGAAAGACAAGTTCGGAGCACAGGCAACGAAGATATTCTTCCCAACGATAGAAAAACACCAGACTCCCTAGTACAGAAGCGAGCAGCTTTACAAGCACCTTGGTACACCGATCCGAATGAGGGTATCGGCAACACTCAGTTTCGAAGACCAACGATGACCAAACGCTCTGTTTCAAGCCCTCGATTGAACTTGCAACGAAGTACCAGTGAAATGGACTATCAGACTTATTCAGCCCAACAGTTGAGGGTAAGTGGCTGTGGGGCGTTCTGTCACACCACAGACTTAAACCGAGTTTTGCTAACAGGCTACGATTGGTGGTCAATGGTCTCACTCTCAGATAACGTTTCACTTGGCATCCATTAGTACGCAACACTGGCTAAACGACAAGATTGACAATGACATACAAAATCTGTCGGAAGTGTTCCTAAGCAAGTTCAACATTCGGACTTTAGAGCAAGATTTACAGCCCACACAGTCCACTGCGTGAAACCTGCCGGTTAGCTGATTTGTACCGAGGTATTGGTTTGAAAAACATGGAGCATGATAGCTGCGAAGGATGACAACCGACAAGTTTACTAGGTTGGTGATTCTTTATTATACCATTCTGTCCCACAAGTTCATGCCTTACGCTGTTGAGGAAGTCAGTGGCTATTTTACTCGTAACAATTCTAACTGTTTATCGGTTAAATGAGCGAAGTCATTCCTGGAAAAAACAATGGAACAATACCACATTTGTCACAAGCCGATGGTTTCTATCGAGGAAGCGGTTACACAGACGACATACCGGAACACACATCCATACCAGTGAGCATTTGCCATTGATTGATTTTGGTCCTCTTTAGACATCTGAAGGAATGACAACAAAAGCTGGGCTGGAATCCCACTTTTTCAACAAACTGGGCCTCCTGTTTGTAACTGTTGTTTCTTTGAATGTTACGTCCCACTATGATAAGTGATCCGTTAAATTTAACCATTCATCTATCATGGTTTTGTGAGGTGTACCTAAGTCGTGTTCATCAACTGGCCATGTAGCATAACCTCCTCATAAAAGGCGTCAGACCAAACTGCAAACGTCGTGTGGACCCTGATAAACTGAATGTGTTCGTGAAGGATGATGACGATTTCTTATGTGTTAAAGTCCCAGACTCACTGCGTATTCATGTTGTTTCTCACGATGCACGTTAGCGCACAGTATAGTTAGTTTTGAGGCGTATATTGCAATAGATATTCTCATCGGGAACGCGCTGTTGATAGCTGAGTCCTAGCTTCAGGGTACAATGAACAAAGGCAGGTCCTCTGGCGTACCTATATATGAAATTGGTCTCGGTTCCAACAAACTCCATCTATTAAATCCGGAATGTCATTATCAAAACAAGCTATCCTTCTTTTTAAGAAACTCTTTACTCAACATTATACTGTTTTGGACCACTATGCTATGTTTTGATTTTAAAAGTTTCCAAGCTTTCTATTCACAATAGTTATGGCCTAAACAACTTGAAATCTGGCAGGCGAGTCACTCTCTGCGTTTAGCTAATGAATTAATCATTATTAGCCTTCAAGTGAATCCCATGCTTCAGTTACACAAGGGTTCGTTTGTTGATATCGTCTGTACCCAAAGGACATTTGTGAAGACTGGTGGTGTAGAGGGAAACGTGAAGAGTAAACTCCCAGACTACTGTGCAAGTCACGCATGAAGACCATTAATTGTGATGTCAGGTTTTTGCGAGGCAGAGGCGTGGTAAATGTGTGAGCTACTGGCGCACAAGTCTGATACGAAGAAAGCACTCTTGGTTATACTCATTGAGTGGGCGGTGCAAGTGCCTTTCGAGTCACTTCGTTCATACAGTGTGTACTTTGACTTAGTATATTCAGGCTTTATGACTTCCCATTGTGTTGGCTAGAAGATTTGTTCTTTCATCTTCATTATAGCTAACAAAAGTAGCGGTGATGGCCCCGCTCATAAGTGCAACAGAATTACTTCACAAAAAACGACGACGGGGGAAAGCATAGAATGGAACAAGAGCATGGAAAAGGGCCCAGACGAAGCCCGAGGCACCTGCGTCTGCAATCACATTATCCTTGTTTCTGAAATTGGGTGTTGGAGGTGTAAGCATCTCATATGTTTGTGCGAGGCTAGCACTAGGCCATTCACTCTCCAGTTTTTACTTAGTCTACATATCAAGAGTTGTGCCAATCGTACCCAGGATTTGGTTATCAGTTTTACACTTTCTTTTAAAGACAAGGATTACCTAGTTTTTTGTTGCGCGACTGACAGCAGCAGCTGCCTCTAAGTTGTGTAAAGGGGTTGCGTGACCTCTAGTATGTATAATGGCGGCAAAAGAAACAGTACAAATCGTTTGTACGAGCTACGAAGTGACCTAAGTATTGTCAACGATAGCAGTGAGAGTACGAGTACGAACGGTGCAGACTAGCAAGAGCAGACGTTAGAAGAGGCCGGAGGGGAGTTCCCGCGTGACAACTTGAACTCAGTCCAGAAACATCAGTGAGACACAAAGAACGGAAATGAAGTTCACCGCTCCCCACCTTCGACGTGTGCTTATTCGACGGACGCAGCGATCGCAATGTCGGGCCTTTTGGGGAGTAAGAAATATACATAATCAACAGGCAATTTTGGCAGTAGTCCGGGAACTTTTTCACTTAGGTTGAAAAGCGAATATTCGGAAACTTCCGAAAAATTCACCGTTTGTCTTTTCAGGAGTTACGAATGCCTACGTGCAAATACGGGAATAAAGAGTCAGTACCTTGGTATCCGGAATACGCAGCCTCCAGATTCCCGAAGAGAGATGGAGAAACATACAAGACCTCAACTTCAAAGATTGGTGAGAGTTTCTTACGGGTCTTCGGCGTGGACAGTCAAAGTTCGAAAGATTGCGAAGCAAGTGAGCAACAAGTGAGTCTAAGGATCAGATCAGTCTCGTGGCCATCCAGCGGAGTCAGTATCGAGTTGTTTCTATCAACCAAAATAAAACTCCCTACAGTTGAGCATCGACGTGGCTGAAAGAGAACGATCCCCTTGTGTTTCCTCTGCAATAAGTCTAAAATTAATGCGAAAAAAACCTAATTGTCCAGCTGCGATGGCTGCTATGCCATTGCGAAGAATGGAGGCTGCAATAACGTCCTTTTGGCTGGGCCTATACAGAATTTAAAAAACGGGTAGGTCAGGACCACAAACCAACGGAGCAGTGGCTCGTTGATGAACTACCTTGATGTTCATCTTTCCACTAACCTTAGCATTATTCTGCAAACACTCATCATCATCATCGACAGAATGACATCAGTGTTCAACACCGATGCTTCACTGCCGTACAACCATGACTTATTTGAAAGCCTTATTGTAAAGAAAAGAATAAAGGTGGATGGGGGAGGGACTTAGTGCTAGCTTAACACAATCATTCCAAGGTGCCTACACCTCCAGACATTCACTCAGGCAATCTGGGCAGAAACTGACAAGAACGAGACTGACATCGGTTGGCAGCAAACACTCACTGTCTGGTACTCCAGGCTGCCGAAGACTTAATAAGGTTCGGTCCAGAACAACACATCTGTGACGCTGCTCTCGGGTGACACTCATCCTCATTACTCTCTCATTGTGCAGTCATCCCCTTTTCGGTGACCAGGCCATTAGAAAGTTACCCAGCACTGGGCCTGTCGTAGATAGAATAAGCAAGATAGGTTATGACATTACGAATAGCGGAGTACACTTGTCTTCTAGTCCACTGTCATTTGGTTTATTATACCACCACGTAGCAAGTCTGGAAGAACCTTACTATCCATAATCCGATGAAACTATTTGCGGGAAAACCTGATCCCCAGATTCCGTCAGTCGTGTGGATAGACAAAACGACCTTAGTGACCATATCTCATATATTTGCCAGGTTTTTTACTACTGCCACATCCGCTTCTGCAACGAGCGATGCAGAAATCATCCCCTTTAACAGTCTGACATATTCATCACTGCCAGTAAATTCTTTCTTGCTGTTTGTTATTTATTACGCTAGTAAGTGATGAGAATATCACCAACTCCAATTGCTCAGAAACACATTCACCGTTTTTTCACTAACAGGCTGAAAGGACACCCAATGGAAAATTGTCATCACTACGTAGCACACCTTATGCACAACACTACTGAAAGTGGAATCCATCGATCGATTGAGAGCCAGCTGAGTACCGCTTGAGCAGACGATACTCACCAAGTTTGTCCATGACACTTATTGAGACCCAGTTGACATGCCACTTCTTAGGGTTACGAAGGTCCGGCTGGTCGTCTCATTTGCGCATTATCATTACTCGTATCCTCAAAGTTTTGCTCTAGCTTTTACCGGTACAATTTCTTCCGGTTGCTTATTGTGCCCGTCTTTTATGCACCATTCTTGCTTGTACACAACAATAAACAATATGGGCAAAAAATCAGGGTGAAAAGCGTCAAAAAACAACAAAGGGAGTGAGAACTATGCACATTTATATATCAAAACCTAATGCGTATACATGAAAGCGATGGTTGGAACATCTGATTATCTTTTTTGGTGCAAAATCATCGGTTTGAATACATCGGAGTCTCGGTCATCAACAGAAAGAATCAAAGTTTTCGACGAATTTTCGCAAACTTGTGTTTTCCATTGGAATAATAAGTAGTTCCGTGCCATCTGGACCCTGGAAGAGGAAGCAAACTGAATGAGGCGGGTGGTTAAGTTCACTGTATCATCAATAGCCCATTTCGTAACGAATCGTTCGTGATGGTAACCGGCGTTTGTCATGATACAGAGTGGGCGTACAAAAGTGCACTACACGAAGCGCATTACAGATTACTCCGGGTTGGACAGAACGATGAGAATGCTATGAAGTATAGAAGAAGTATAGTATAGAAGTATAGAAGATAATACAGCCAGCAAACGGATCCTTCAGTGTGAAGTGTGATGTTGGACAAGCCCCCAAGCCTGTAGTTTGTGTAGTTAGAATAGACAATTGAGCAGCCAAATCGTACCGATGATTTTCCGCCTTCGATGGCATTCTCCAAGTTCCTCCATTATATCGCAAGCTCAGTTGCCTTGTGGTTGTCAGCTTCGTTTGGATTAGCATGCTTAGATGCGAAACTGTCGTAACTAATGTTGCCGATCACCTGATATAAGGATTGTGATGCCGTAACTTTAAAGCTGACAGTGGGTTCACTAGAAACTCTGAGACCCAAGTGGCATGCATACACGAGCACGCACGCACGCATTCACATTACACGAAGGTCGGCAGTCATCCAGTATAGCCGTGTCAGTTGGTGCTTGCGTGGTCGAACTCAGGCGAACTTGTGTGAGTACCCAATTCTAACACAGATGGTAAGTCATCGAGACGCCCAGGTTATGAGGCTAGTTGGTTCGATACAGACCAGACTTAGCACAAAGTAGAACAGATTGATAACTCTTACTTAAACTAACGAAAAACAAACAGAAAAGAGCCATGGAAACGCAGAGTAACCCAGAATAACGAAGAAACAGTGGTACAATAACTGCCAAGTCTTCGAAGAGGTCAATACATCTTACCACGGTTGTTCCTGTACTAACTGGGTGGCCAAGTCCGAAAAGTCTTATGGAAACCACACCTGCTAAAACCAAGAGATCTCACTGATGAATGCCCGGATTAAACACTGGAAACAATTCAAAGACCGACTCGCTGTCACTAATGATTCAAGTAGTACCTTTCGAATCTTCATCAGTTTGTGGTCACGGAATTCCGTGAGCTGCGCTCGCAAAGTTGCTTCACTGTTCGTCAGAAACGCATCACGGCAGCGCCAGTAGAGATCTTCCAGCGGCATACCTGAAGGGACAAGGAAACACTAGACATCCGAAAAGTTTTAAACAATAAAAAGTACGCCGAAAAATCAGGAAGAACTGTGCTTTCAGTGCAAGCTTAAGGATAATGGTGTGCTGAGGAAATCTGGGCAGTTTTTTTTCGGCAAAAACGATCATATAAGAAGCTGCGGGACATTCGGTTATTTCTCCGAAATACTCTCAAATACTCATGCTGATCTACCGGAATTTAAACATCTTACTGAATTAGGACTTGATCGCTTAAGAATGTGCACTAGAATTGATCAGCATGAGGGTACTACGATTGAACGGATATTCGATTTCCGGCAAAAACATCATATAAGAAGCTGCGGGACATTCGGTTATTTCTCCGAAATACTCTCAAATACTCATGCTGATCTACCGGAATTTAAACATCTTACTGAATTAGGACTTGATCGCTTAAGAATGTGCACTAGAATTGATCAGCATGAGGGTACTACGATTGAACGGATATTCGATTTCAAGAAACTGAGTTCATTTCAAAGAATCTCAAAACAACATTGATTGATTAGTTAGATATGTCCACTTGTAAACGCTCATTAATCGCCAGAAGCATTACCACTGTTGGTACCTTCATTAGTAAACTAGGCGATGTACCCCAAATTCTGATCCATCACTGGTGAGACAACCAAAGTTGGGGACGATCAGGCTGATCCAGAGAAGCACACTACAAGAATGAACAGGCACACACGTGTCCGTATTATAGGTCAGTCTGGAATCTGTTCTACGTAAGCGCGTCGCCAATTTGTCGATTGCACCTTGACCACCAAGGAGAGTAGATTGGAGCGTCGCCCAATCAGTCACGACCCGTTGAGGAAACTTTCCGGACGGTTTCACTGTAACATCCAGGAGTATCATTAGGCATACAAAATATTTTGGCCGCTGCGGGTCATCGCGGAAGAACGAAGCTCCAAACTTCACTAGCCCACACAATACTGACGGGGTTATCCTTCGTTTTACGGTAGTGCTGATATAATTTCCAAAGGCTCCGAAGACAATTTGGACTCTAGACAAGGCAGAATACGAGAGCCATGTCAGAACTTTTCTAAAAGTTGGCAAAAGTCGGCATCTTGTACAAGCGACGAATCTGAAAAATGGTCACAGGACCCACTGGTCCGGCTATCAGTACAGTAGCCTGCCAATTACCACCTCGCTTCCCCCGAAAGTCTCAACGCCTGGGTTTGAATTTCAATTATTTCCTTGTACATTCGTTCACACAGCTGGTGTGCATGAAACCTATCACGATTGAGGAGGGTGTTCACAACGGTACCATCCCGTGTAAAAAGTCTTCTGATATCACCATTATAATGTAAAATGGAATTGGGATAAGTCAGCGTGGAAATGCAAGTAGGAAACAAATGGTGTTGATTGTCAGGCAGAACAAGTTGTCGTCGATGCAATGTACATGGTCAACCATTGTTGACTGAGTTTAACTTTGGTGATATACTATAAACACCAAGGTGTTATATCGATGGACCATCTCATGCGAGGTTTGCCTTCGTGAAGCATGAGTATACGGTAAGATCTATTTCGACAAACGAATGTAATGTGATAAAAGTGCAAGCCTGTGGCAATATATACGTTTTAGGTTCGTTTACGCACGGTAGACACGATCCGCAGACTTGTAAAATGGGGCGGGCACCAGAATGACTAACAGAGCAACTTGGACGGATATCTGAGTGAGCTAATCACGATATTTAGTACATTTGTATCGCCAAATCCAGTTCAGTTTCACTCTAGCGCACCCAGAAGGTCGCCCGTCACTCCCTAGAAGGCAATATCGTCCCCATTATGAGACTGATTAAACAACGCCGAAAGGCGACAAGCAGCGTCCAAATTGATTTTTGATACTAACATATGGAATCGTCTTTCTTATCATCATTAGACATCGTGGTAACCGATATTACCGGTGTGAAACAACCCAGGGAAGATTGCCTTACTAGGTACCGCATATAAGTGATGGAGTGACTTACCCACATTGTCACCTCTCGATTCATGCAAAGGGGCATTAAGCTGATGTTCAGCAACCATACGGAAGATTTCCCGTGCATTT